TGATGATGATGATGATGCTGCTGATGATGATGATGATGATGATGATGATGACCATGACCATGATGATGATGACGATGATGAGATGACGATTCAGAGGATTATGATGCTGTTGATGATGATCATGATGATTATGATTATGATGCGACTGTTGATGATCATGATGATGAAGATGACGATGGTGATGATGATGGTGATGATGATGCTTATGATGGTTATGCTGCTGATGTTGACGATGCTGATGATGATGATGATGATGATGATGATGGTGATGGTGATGGTGATGACGAGACTGCTGATGATCATGCTGATGACGATGATGATGATGCTGATGACCATGATGATGATGATGATGATGATGATGATGAGGATGATGACATGACGATGATGGCGATGCTGAGGATGATGCTGCTGATGATGATGATGATGGTGATGATTCTGATGATGATGATGATGATGATGATGATGATGATGCTGCTGCTGCTGCTTATGATGATGATGATGATGATGATGATGATGATGATGATGATGTTGGTACTGATGATGATGATGATGATGATGATGATGATGATGATGATGATGATGATGATGATGCTGCTGCTGATGATGATGATGATGATGACCATGATGATGATGATGATGATGATGATGATGATGATGGTACTGATGATGATGATGATGATGATGATGATGATGATGATGATGATGATGCTGCTGCTGCTGATGATGATGATGATCATGATGCTCATGATGCTGATGATGATGATGACGACTATGATGATGCTGATTATGGTGGTAATAGTGATGATGATGCTGCTGATGATGATGATGCGGATGCTGATGCTGTTGATGATGCTGATTATGATGATAGTGATGCTGGTGATGATGCTGCTGCTGATGATGACGGTGATGCTGCTGCTGATGAGGATGATGATGCTGATGCTGCTGATGATGCTTATCATTCGTATCATTGTTTTTACTTTTTTATCTTCTTCTTCTCAGTATTATCGTCATTCATATTATGATCATTGTGGTTATCATTATAATTGCTGGTGCTGATGCTGCTGCTGATGATGATGCTGATGCTGCTTATGATGATTATACTGATGATGATGATGATGATGATGATGATGTTGATGAGGATGAGGATGAGGATAAGGATGAGGATGAGGACGAGGACGAAGATGAGGATGATGAGGATGATGATGATGATGATGATGATGATGATGATGATGATGATAATGATAAGGATGAGGATGAGGATGAGGATGATGATGATGAGGTTGATGATGATGACGATGATGATGATGATGATGATGATGATGATGTGATGATGCTGATGATGATGATGATGATGTGATGATGATGTGATGATGATGATGATGATGATGATGATGATGATGATGATGATGATGATGATGATGATGATGATGATGATGATGATGATGATGATGATGATGATGATGATGATGATGATGATGATGATGAGGAGGAGGGAGGAGGAGGCGGAGGAGGAGGAGGAGGAGGAGGAGGAGGAGGAGGAGGAGGAGGACGATGTGGCTCCTGGTGCTGCCCCCATCCCGTGGGGGGCATCCGTCCCCAACTCGGCCCTCGGGGGAGTGCGATCCCCTGTGCTGTGCGGAGCGGGCCCCTCTGGCAGGCGACCCGAGCTCGCCTCCAGAAGGGGCTCATGTGGCGCGTCGCCGGGCCGTCCCGTCGAGATGCTCCTCTGGGCCGTAGCTGGATTGGTTGGTGCTGGAGGGGAGAGGTCGCTACCAGCTTCGGCGTGGTTCGGGACGACCGACGTGGGCACGGAAAGATGGCGGCGGAGGCCGAGATCGAAGTCGCCGCCGCCCCCCGCGCCCCCCTCCCCTCCGGCGCGCAGGCCTGGCCGCCCGAGGGCGTGCCCGAGGGCGCTGCCGCGGGCGCTGCCCTGGCCACGCGCGCGTGGCCAGCCGAGCCGGAGGCGGAGCCGGAGGGGCACTTCGGTGTTTCTTCGGAAGCCTGGCGCGAACACCCCGCGGCCCATCCGAGTGGGCGCAGTCTGGCGGCGGCCGATCGCCAAATGCCTCATGGCCGGCAGCCGGGAAGGACTCCAGAAGCTCTTCGTGCAGCGTCGGCAGAGCGGCGTGGCGCTGCACCTCTGGGGGTGCCTGGCAAGGGCGGCGGGCGGTCCAACGCCCCCTGCCATCGCTGGCCTGGACCTGGACCTCCACAGCGCCAGCCCGTCCAGAGTGCACGGGTGGGCGCCCGAGTGGGATTGGTGGACTGCTTGGTGCCACCTCGAGCCTGCCGACGTCCAAATTCCTGGCGGGGAATGCGCCCAGACATGATCGCGTCGTTACAAAAAGGACGGGAGGCTTTTGGCCATTTTCGGCCTCGGGGGGTCCTCGCCGGGCCTCGGGGCCGTCAAAAAACGACCGGGGGTGAAAAGCTGGTACCGGGGAAAGGGTCGGGACTTCCAGGGCCCCGTGTTGAAAAAGTCAGGACGCCGCATGTTTGTGAGGGGATGCCTCCACCTTCTCCGCGGAACAGTCGTAATTGGCGCAGATCGCTGCTGACCGCCAGGTATTCGCCGAGCAGGTCCGTGCGGAGGGCGCCGCCGAGGCGGGCCGCGTCGCGAGGGAAGCGTGGCGGGGCGCTGGCAGCCCCGCCGGCCAGCGCTGGACACGGCCGCGGCTGCCGCGGCAGGTGTCGGGGCCCCCAGCGGGCTCGATGGCTGAGTGGTATGGCCCAGGGGAACATCGCAGACTGCCCATTTGGGTGGTCTCTACGATGAGGCTTCGGAGCTTTGCGCAGCGGGGGGGGGCGCGGGGGTCTGCAGGGCCTGCCAGACATTGAATGTTATCCCACCAGCCTTCTGGGCGCAGGTGGTCTAGCGCGTTTCCTCTTCTCCCCCTCCCCCTCTCCCCCTGAGGCCGTTGCGCCGTTCGGCCTGCAGGCTCGCCTCTGTGACGTGGCGGCAGGAGTTCGCCTGGGAAGGATCTGCGCCGAGCTCCAGCTCCAGGGCGATTGGCCAGGGCTGCGCCTGCTTGGCCACCTCCGGGGTGCCGTTCCTGGACGTGGGTCCTGGGCTCCACCACTGGGAACTACGTCTGGGCGCGCGAGGTCGTCGCGGCCGTCCGCTCGCAGCTCGGCGCGCGCGTCCTGGAGGCGCCGGCCGCGTCCGCGGGCCGCGGGGGAGAGCTCGACCGCGCATGTCGCCGCGCGCTGCGGTGCGCGCCGGGCGCGAGCAGCGGCGGGCACTCTGTGTCCTTGTGCTGGCCGGCCTGTCTGACAACGTTGCCACCGTCGAGGTCCTAGGCGGAGTCCCGTCACATCCAGCTCTCCGCCCTGCCGACGCTTTCACTTCGGCGGCTTTTGCCCGCCTGGCGGCCTTGGACGTTGGCGTGGCTTGCCCGGGCTCCGCGGGCAGCGTGGCGGACGCCTGTGCTGCCGTGGTGGCAGAAACGCTGGTTCGGTACGCCGACGTGCTCCTGGAGCTCGCGGACGAGGACATCGAGTACCGCGCTCTGATCTGGAGTTGCTGGGGCCAGCGACGCGACCGCCGCCGTGGGGTCCATGGCCACGGCAGCATCGTGGCGGCGGGGCGAGGCGCCGGAGGTCTTTGCACGCCGGTCCAACAGCATGGTCGGGATGCGGTTCTGGCGCCGGGCGGCCGCGATGGTCTCGGCCTGCAATTCGACGGCCCGCGCGGACGACGCTGCGGATTTCATCCCTGCAGCCTGCGATCGCCGCCTGCATGGGGTGGAATTCGGCGGCGCAGCCCCAGCTGGCGCGGAGCCGTCGGCGGGGCCCCGCGGGCTCGCGGGCGCCCCCGCCGAGGTTCGCGTTCGAGGCGCCGGCCAGCGCGGGCGGCGCGGGCGAGGCGGCCCTGGCTGCGGCCGCCGGCGCAGCTGGCCTCGTCTGCGCGGTGGTGCTGCGGTGGCGGACGGCGTGGCCCGCCTGGGGGCCCAGGGCCCCGAGTGGTACACCGTCTTGAAGGTGGGTCTACGACAAGGGGCCCTGTTGCAGCTGTGCCGGCGGGCCGGGCCGCGAGCCGCGCCGTTGGAGGGAGGGGGGGGGGAGAATAACACAGATCATTTCGTCCCTCCTCTCTCCTCCTTCCGCCTCCTCTTCGCCGCCCCTCCTCCTCTTCCTCCTCCTCCTCCTCATCCCCCCCCCGGTCCGAGCTGGCCTCCCCAGAACGTTGCCCTTGAGTGGTGGTAGAAGGGGGGGGGACAGTTGGGGAAGGAGGAGGGCGATGAGAAGGATGATGAGGAGAAGGAGGAGGGTGATGATGATGATGATGATGATGATGATGATGATGATGATGATGATGATGATGATGATGATGATGATGATGATGTGGAGGAGGAGGAGGAAGAGGAGGAGGAGGAGGAAAAGGAAATGGAAGAGGAAGAGGAGGAGGAGGAGGAGGAGGAATAGGAGGAGGTGGAAGAGGAAGAGGGGGAGGAATGACACTACTATTGATACGAATAATAAGACAACGATAAGACTAATAATAGAAAGAGGAAGAGCGCGAGAAATACTACGAATGATGAGAAGAATACGAATAGCATCAAGAAGACTCATCATACAAATGATAATACTAATTCTAATCACTCCATCACATAGTGGTTAATCCGGATGCTGATAATACTCGTATTGCGAATTACATCAAAGATAATAATAACACGAGTCATAAGACGAAATCCGAGACAAGTATCACTACTTGTTTGAGTACTATTATTACTACTGATAAGACGACTCGCTAATGTACTAACAGTAATCGTAATTTCAAAACGATGATTCATATAACTCATACTAGAAGGAGTAGTAGTAGTAGTAGTAGTAGTAGTAGTAGTAGTAGTAGTAGTAGTAGTAGTAGTAGTAGTAGTAGTAGTAGTAGTAGTAGTAGTAGTAGTAGTAGTAGTAGTAGTAGTAGTAGTAGTAGTAGTAGTAGTAGTAGTAGTAGTAGTAGTAGTAGTAGTAGTAGTAGTAGTAGTAGTAGTAGTAGTAGT